CTAATGTTTTCAAAGAACAGTTTAATAGTTTGAGGTCTTAGATTTAAATCTCTGATCCACCTTGACTAGATTTTTGTCAAAGGTGAGAGTTAGGGGTTCAAATTCATCTTTCTGAAGGTGAAAATCCAGTTTTTCCAGGACCATTTGCTCAAGAGGTTTTCCTTTCCCACTGGATTGACTGGTACCCCCTGTCGAAACTCAGCTGACTGCAAGTTTGGGAATTCATATTTGGGAATTCATATGTTTGGGAATTCAGAATTGAGTCCCCCTATTTCTGGGGACTCAATTCTGTTCCATTGGTCCACATGAATGTTTCTGTGGCAGTATCATGCTGTTTTGATTACCACAGCTTTGCAGTATATTCTTGGGTCACTCCACTCTTCTTGTATAGAACTGCTTTGGCAATATGGGGTCTTTTATGATTCCAGACGAATTTTATGATTGTCTTTTCTAGATCTATGAAGAATGTTTCTGGTACTTTGATTAGCATTGCATTAAATATGTAGATTAATTTGGGTAGAATTGCCATTTTGATCATATTAATTCTTCCAATCCAGGAACATGGGATGTCCTTCCACTTTTTTGTGTTATTTTGAATTTCTTTTTTTAGCTTGTCATAGTTTTCCTTGTTGAGGTCTTTAACTTCTTTGGTTATATTTATTCCTAAGTATCTTATACTTTTTGTGACTATGGTAAATGAAGTAACTTTTTTCAGTTCTATTTCAGTCTGCCTGTTGTTTGTATACAGAAATGCTATAGATTTCTGTATATGGATTTTGTATCCTGCAACTTTACTGTATTCATGCATTACTTCCAGAAATTTTTTCATGGAAACCATTGGGTCTTCTATGTATACAATCATGTCATCTGGGAATAGGGATTTTCACCTCTTCTTTTCCTAATTAAAGGCCTTTTATTTTTTCCTCTTTTCTGACTGCGTTGGCAAGGATTTCCAGTACTGTATTGAAAAGGAGTGGAGAAAGTGGGCATCCTTGTCCTGTACCCGTTTTTAGTGGACAAGCTTTCAGCTTTTCTCCATTTAGGATGATGTTTGCTATGGCTTTTTTATAGAAAGCTTTTATTGTGTTGAGAAATGACCAGTCTATGCCGATTTTCCTGAGGGTCTTGATCATGAAGGGATGTCATATTTATCAAATGCTTTTTCTGAAACAATCGATGTGTCCATATAGTTCTTATCTTTATTCCTGTTAATATGGTGTATTACATTCATGGTTTTGTGTATGTTGAACCAACCTCGCATTCCTGGAATAAAGCCGACCTGATCATGATGTATAATCTTTTTTATAAGTACTTGGATATAATTTGCTAGTATCTTGTTGAAAATCTTTGTATCTATATTCATCAGAGATATTGGTCTGTAGTTTTCCTTCCTTGTCCTGTCCTTATCTGTTTTAAGGATAAGTGTGATAGAGGCTTCACAGAATGAATTAGGGAGAGATTCACCCTTTTGGATCTTTAGAAATAACTTGAGCAGAATGGTGATTAACGCTTCTTTGAAAGTTTTATAGAATTCAGAGGTGAAGCTATCAGGGCCAGGGCTTTTCTTTGTTGGAATGTTATTTATTACTGATTCAATTTCCTGGTTTGTTATGGGCCTATTCAGACTTTCTATATCCTCCTGGCTCCATCATGGTAGATTATATGTGTCCAGGAGTTCGTCCATCTCATCCAGATTGTCTTGTTTCTTGCTTCATAGTACCCTCTAATGATGTTTTCTAGTTCTACTTTGTCTGTTGTTATATTGCCTGATTCACTGCAGATTTGATTCACCTGCTTCCTTTCTTTCTTAATAAGTCTCGCAAATGGTGTATCAATTTTGTTATCTTTTCAAAGAACCAGCTTTTACTTTCATTTATTTTCTGTATAGTTCACTTATTTTCTATTTCATTTATTTCTGTTTGTATCTTTATTACTTCCTTTCTCTTGGAGTTTTTTTAAAATTTTTTTGCTGTTGCTTTTCCAATTCTCTAAGGCATGATGTTAGGTGATCCATTTGCCTTCTTTCCGTCTTCCTCTCATGTGAACTAATTGCTATGAACTTCTCTCGTATGAGTGCTTTAGCAGTGTCCCAAAGATTATGGAAACTCGTGTCCTCATTGTCATTGGCTTCCATGAATCTTTTGGTTTTAGTTTTTATTTCTTCAGTAGTAGTGGAGTCATTCAGGAGTAGGTTATTTAGTTTCCATGTATTTGGGTATTTTTGAGGATTTCTCTTGAAATTAAACTCAAGTATAATTCCATCATGGTCAGAGAAGATGTTGGAAATAGTTTCTATGCCTCTGAACCTGTAGAGGCTTTCTTTGAAGTATAATTCCATCATGGTCAGAGAAGATGTTGGAAATAGTTTCTATGCCTCTGAACCTGTAGAGGCTTGCTTTGTGCCCTATGATATGGTCAATCTTTGAGAAGGTTCCATGTGGGGGTGAGAAAAAAGTATATCTCATGGTTTTTGGATGGAAAATTCTATAGATGTCTGGTAAGTCCATTTGATTGATGGTATCGTCTAGATCCTTTATCTCTTTATCTATTTTTTGTCTAGATGATTCATCCAGAGGGGATAGTGCAGTGTTGTAGTCTCCAATAATTATTGTATTGCGGTCTATCTCCCCGTTTAGATCTAACAATTTTTCCTTCACATATTTGGGTGCTCCTGTGTTAGGCACATAGATATTTATAAGAGTTGTATCTTCTTGATCTATTGATCCTTTTACTACAATATAGTGAGTGCCCTTCTTTGTCTCTTCAAACAGTTTTTGTTTTAAAGCCTATTTTGTCAGAAATTAGTATTGCAACTCCAGCTCTTTTTTGTTTCCCATTTGCATGGAAAACCTTTTTCCAATCCTTCACTTTCAGTCTATGTATGTCTTTATCCATGAGGTGGGTTTCCTGTAGGCAACAGATAGAGGGCTTCTGTTTGTTTGTTTGTTTTTTTTAATCCATTCTGCCAGTCTGTGTCTCGATTGGAGAATTTAATACATTCACATTCAATGTTATTACTGATGTTACTGGAGCTGTCTGAGCTTTAAGTTGGCCATTGTCTTAGCTGCCTTTTATTCCTTTGTTTCTGTCTGTTAAGTAATTTTTCTGGAACAGTACTTTTTTCAGGTTTCTTGAAGAGCTGGTCTGGTTTTGGCAAAGTCTTTCAGGTTTTGTCTGAGAAGACTTTAATCTTTTCTTCCCATAAAAAGGATAATCTTGCAGGATATAATAATCTTGGTTGAAATTGTTTCTCTTAACACTTTCAATACATCTTCCCATTCTTTCCTTGCTTGCATTGTTTCCAGTGAGGTCCGGTGTTAGCCTGATGGGATGACCTTTCTAAGTCACTTCTTGTTTCTCTCTTGCCAGTTTTAGTATCATGTCTATCTGTGGTCTTGGATAGTCTGTCTAAGATGTGCCTTGGAGAAGATCTTCTGGGGTTGAGTCTATTTGGGGTCTTTTGTATTTCTTGGGTCTGGATGCTTGCATGCCTCTCTAGACTTGGGAAATTTTCTTCCAGGATTTCATGGAATAGATTTTCCATGCCGTTATCAGTTTCTTCACCTTTTGGGAGGCCAATTATTCTGATATTTGGGCATCTTATGGAATCTAGTACTTCTCGTATATTATTCCATTTTTTAAAAATTTTCTCTATCTTATTGGTGGATTTTTCTAGGTCAGAGGTTTTATCTTCTATATCAGCGATTCAATCTTCAATTTTAATACTTTCAAGAGTTTTTGATTTCCTGTACTACAGACTTCATCTCTAATAGCTCCATCTGATTCTTTCTCAGAGTGTCCATTTCTTCTTTCTGAGCATGGAAGGACTTCCTAATCTCCTGTAGTTCATTGTCTCTTTTCTGTTCGAACTCACAGAATTTGTTCACCATGAACGTTCTAAATTCTTTTTCCGACATTTTGGTAACATCCTCAGATTTTAGGAGAGATGGAGAAGAGTTACTCTGTTCCTTTGATGGAGGCATATTTCCTGGCTTATTCAGACCTGAGGTTCTTCTTCAACTTCTAGCCACTGGAAGATGTATTCACTTTTGAATACCTCAGCAAGTATGTTTCCCTTTTGCTGTGAATTGGATGTGAATAGAAGTCTGTCTTCTGTTGTTTTTAGCAATGTGGTCTCAAGAGGTGTACTCTATTCACCTATCTGAAGAGTACTATCTACATGTTCATAGGTGGTTCATTACAGCGGAGTATCCCAGGGAACCTTACAATAGTAGGGAATTTCAGAACTGTGATTCTGGATCTGTCTAATCCCTTTGGCAGGACAGATGAGGAAGAGAGGAAAATGTAAGAGGAAAGAAAAGAGTATATAGGAGAATAAAGGAAAAGTTGCGTGTCGTGCAATAGTGCAGTACATGATTTCACCAAGGGCCTAGAGATGGAACTGGAGGGCTCCTGCAGAGCAAGGGCCAGTCTTTCTAGGGGGTGGGGTCCTGGTCTTGGCAGCCTGGAAGTGGGACAGAGGCAGCGGTGTCCCTGTCTCAGTTTCCCTTGCTGGCCAGGAGCCTAGAGATGGAACTGGAGGGCTCCTGCAGAGAAAAGGCCAGTCTTTCTAGGGGGTGGGATGGTTAGCTAAATTTTAAGTTAATTTAACTTAATTCCGTGTGTGTGTGTGTGTGTGTGTGTGTGTGTGTGGAGTGGAGGGAGTGGAATGAGATCAGAACACTCTAAGAACAACAAAAAATTAACATTTGAAGGTCTGTGAGAAAAATACAAACTGTAGTCTTCACTTTTACACAAAGGGAAATTGCTTACACTAAACTATATGTAATTAAAGCAAAAGTAAAGTACAAATAAATTAGAAGAACCCTAAAAACAGATTCTTCTTTTATTTCATGATTCTAGGAAGGAATAGAGAAAAAAAACAGGTAAAATAGGAAAGGAGCAAAAAACAAGGAAATCATATTCTTCACACCACATTCAGACACCTGAGCAAAGCACTTTAGCAGAAATCAGCATGAGGAAATACCACACCATCTCACCTCCTCGAAGTCATCACTGACCCACAGGGGGATGGGGGTGCCCCAGTATCTGTTCCTGGAAATTGCCCAGTCCCGTGCATCTTTCAGCCAATTTCCAAACCGCTTTTCTCGCACAAACTCTGGGACCCTGCAATAACAGATCAGATAGTTAGCCACGTGAAAACCAGTGTCAGTGAAACTATTAGCCTCTGTGTGAAATTCTGTGGACCAGGGAGGGCTGAGCTCACTGGTGAGGAGGGATATCTCTTACATGGATGGCACCAGCACATGCTTATTAGCCCAGGCTGCCCTGATGACTTGGATACAGTGGAAGTCCCACAGTGGCCCCTTCCCTAGCCAGAGGATGACTGCAGATCTCTAGCTGTCACTGACTTAAATCAGCTTCTTCCCACTCGCTCCAGTCTTTCTACCACCCAAGAGTACTAGTTTGTTTGTTTGTTTGTTTTTTTAAGAACTATCTTTTTATTTAACTTTATTTATTTATTCATTTGAATTTGACCAGGGAGGGACAGAGAAGGAGGGAAAGTGAGAAAGCAAGCTGCCAGGTCCGGGACTTGAACTGCAGTCGGCCATGTGGGAGTCTAGCACCCTTAACCACCACACCATCTGCTGGCCCCAAATACTAGTTTTATTTATTTATTTATTCATTTTTAGAGGTTTTTTTGCTATAGGGTGCGTGCACTCGCCAGCCAGACAGAGAGAGACAGAGAGACAGAAAGCAAGAAATCATCCTCCAGGGGGGATGGCCACGCCGCAATCCCTTCTCTTCCAGTCTCTTCTCAGGATCCTGGGCATGCACGCACAAGCGCCTAGCGTGAGTTTGAAGCCACTGGTTACGGGACACGAACCATGGTCGACTACGTGGGAATCCAGCGACACAGCCATTATGCCAACTGCTGGTCTCTTCCAAATATTAGTTTTACTGAAGCTCATTAGTGTAGAGTCCAAATGGGAAAACTGGCAGCTGCTATGCAGGCACTCCCTGGTCTTAACTCTAGTTGTCCTTGGCCTTGCACTTCAGCTCCAGCAATGAGGAAAGTTCTTGGAGTGCAGCTGCTCCCACAATTCCCTCTCTGCCATGCAGCTCTGGCTCCTTTGCCACCCTACCCACTCCCTGTGCACCTACTACCATTCACTGGCAGATGGCTCCTTATCCCCTGAGGTTCAGCTCTGCAGAAATCCTTCCCTAGCACAAGGTTGAGTCAGGACCTCCCCGGGCTCCCCAACATCTTCCTCGTCTCAGTCCTGCAGTTATTGCCCTGTATTGTACAGAGCTGCCCACACCCCTCGACGCTATCTTACTAACATCTTATACATTAGGGAACCCATGAGCATACTAGCTATGAACATGGGGAAATTGCTTTTTGAGAATCAGTATCACTTTACTGCGGACTATTAGAAAGCTACAGTTTATAACTATTTCCTTTACTACCTTGAGATTCTCCCTATTATCCCAAAGTCAAATGCAGTTTTTCAGTCTAGTTGGGTTCTTGTGAGAATTAAGTAGTTCCCTCTAAAACTCTCACTGAAAAGTGTTCTTAGAAATACAGATTTAAGCCTCATTTCATTTGCACCCAAAGGTTAAAATGACTGCTCTTGGGCTATCACCTACAGATTAGGTCCCAGCTGGAAAGAGTACAGGCTTCTGTGTTTGTAGCTTACCCAGAAGCCAAGCACAGATGACATCACCTGCTCCAGCACCAAGAGCAGTAATACATCCGAAATGATGTGTACTTTGAAAATGACCATAGCCAGATGTTACCCAAAGTCAACCTATAACTCACATAAATGACATTTACTCATTTTCACCGGATTTAAAGAAAAAATATTGTCCCTTATGTATTTTATAAGATGTTATTATAGAATACTATTTATTTTGTGTTCCTGAATAGAAGATAGTTATTAGAATCAAAATGAAAGATGGCTATTGAAGTCATGACACTGTGGGGGGAATGTCAACCATCTTCCTACATGACCAGGGACGCAATGGAGAAACACGGCAGTGCTCACCAGTAACACAGGTCATTGTTCTTAAGCAACAGGTCCACCATGTGCTCCACTCGCACGAACCAGCTGGGCACTGCTTTGTAAATGAGAGGGGTGTCCGACCTGGGGAGCAGATGGGCAGACACAGCTGGTCAGACTGAGACATGTGGGCACCAGGTAAGACTGAACTTAGTCTCTGACGCTAGGTCACTGTTACCTACCTGGCCTTCTGCTAATAGTCATTCTAATTATAGACAAAAATGTCTAAGTCTTCGAACTGGTCATCTCCCTCCATAATACCAAGAAAGAGAAAAGCTATAAAAAACAGACTAGGAAAAAAAATATATAGCTCTGGCAGTGATGGTCGTCTAGGCAACGATGTCCATTTAAGCGCAGAAGAGCAAATGTGGCGAAGGACTACAATACCACTGAATATTTTCACCCACCTCTTTATAGCATGATCTTATATTAAAACCTGATGTCATTAAATTTGTCAATAAATTCCATTACAAGATTTTAATGATATTTCTCATTCCAAAAAAATGTCCCCCGTTTACAAAACATTTGTCTCTTTTTCTCATACAACACCTCAGGAAGATACAACTTCATGAACTCATAAAATTTCTAGCACTGAAATTTGAAGGGAGCCTCCTCACAGTAACTCTAAAGCATGTCAACAAAATGGATGTCAAATGTGATGGATAGCCTCACATGGTCAGTTACCCATAAACCTGAGCTCTGTCTACCACAGACTCCGTCTCTTACCTCCAGCAAAAAGGGTAGCTGTGAGTGACAGTGCTGGCAGCAAGAAGCCGACCCTGTTCCTTCAACATCCTGATGATATTTTTGTCAGCATCCTGTTAAAAATTAAAATTCAGTCATCAAAATGTCCTTTAACATTTAGTAACAATGTGATCTTGTCATTAAAATTGTGTATTTTGTTATGAATAAAAGGCACAAGTAACAGAAATACTATTACTATTATTATTATTTAGGTTTTGGCCATAGGGTGCATGTGCTTGCCAGAGAGAAAAAATGAGAAAACACCCCCAAGGGGGATGGCCATACCATAATCCCTTCTCCATTGTCCTCTCTGGATTTTGGACATGCACACACACATGCTCAGAATGATTCTCAAGCTGCCAAGTCCGAAGCTTGAAACACAGGTGGCCACTGGGAGTCCAGCACCTTAACCACCACACTATCTGCTGGCCCCTAAAAATGTATTATTTAAAACTACCCTGTCCATTTTCTTAGCCACTGTATAACTTCAAGCACACTTTAAGCACATGCCATAATACTCAAAGTAGTTAAGTTTTCAATCAGAACTGATCACTCCCAAGCTCACAAAGCTGCTCCATGAGATACCTATCATAGTTCAACATTTGTGTTTATTTTTGTTTTTGTTTAAAGAGAGATTTTTGCTATAAAATATGTGCACTCGCTGGAAAGAGACAGAAAGTGAGAAATCACCCCCCCCCCGGGGGGGGGGGGGGATGATCATGCCACAATCCCTTCTCTCCCATTTCTCTCTTGGGATTTTGGGCATGCATGCACATGTGCCTGGCATGAGTTTCAAGTTTTCAGGTCTGAACTTGAAGTGCAGTTGGCCATGTGGGGAGTCCAGTAACATAACCATTACACCATCTGCTGGTCCCTCGGCTCAGCTTTTCTGATTCCTAACCCTAGAACTATAGCATACTTCTTCCTCTAGACACTTGAACCTCTGACTACATTTGAGAATGGCTATCTTTGCTGATTTTATGTACTGAAACAAAATAAAAACTTCCTAGATAAATTAAAATACAATTACAAATGATGTAGGATATTAATTATAAGTTGCACTAATTTCGTTACTGGAGGAAAAAAGAAAAAACGATTACAAAAGCCTTATCACAAGATTGGCACCGTCTTCTATTATACACATTACAGACCTTCACATACTGTCCTACGAAGTGTGTCACTTCTGCTGTGAAGCAGCCGGAAGCATCCACAGGGCAGACGGGAAGTGAGTCTTTCTGAATAATGTTGAAGTCCATACATACCCGATAGTCATCCTGGGAAAGGGTAGAGATGAGAGGGAGCAAGGGCAGAACAGAATAGTCTAAGTGTGGCAAAGGGGATAACACCGAGAGGCCCAGAACATTTTCTTAGCATCCTGACATGTGCATGCATCCTCTTAACTGAAGGTGGCTCGAGGCCCATTAGAGCAGAGTGTCACAGTTGGACAAGGATTTGACCATTTAGACCAGTGTTCTCACCATTACCCCACACAGCAGCATACCCTCTAAGTGCAAAGATGCACAATGCAAGTGAATGCTTAAAACGGCATCAGATTTGACTTGTAACAGTGACATATATGCCCATCTGAAAAACAGAGGCGCTGCTAGTCTAAGACATAACCGACTTAGGATAGCATGATGGAAGATACTTCAGTGTGCATCCTGTCAAGGAAAACCCGGAAGGGTAGCAACACTGAGACCTAAGTATTTATTTTACAAGTGAGTAACTAGGCCTCAGGTGGCATAGCTTACCCAGGTAACGTCCTGAGGCTTTGAGAACACAGTCTGAAGAGTTTAAGAGATTAGGGCAAACACTCTGTGTGAGACAGTACTCTCAGCAGCTCACTCAACTCTCACAAAGATCCTTTGAGAAAGGCAGACAGATGTACCAGATTGTTCCTAAGTGTCCCCTCACACAAACTAACAATAGTCCTCACTTTACAGATGAGAAAGATGAAGCACAAAGAAGTATTCAGTGTGATGGGGCAACATGAGGGTTCAAAACCACGCAGTGTGGCCCATCTGCAGTCCTCATCTGTGCTACACTAACTCATTCTGTAGAGACCATCTTAGGTTAGTCTGCTTTGACTCTGAAAGCCCAAAAGTGGACTTGCCATCACTAGGACCCATTCATCCTCTGCTATGCTGAGGCTGTCTCTGTGGTGACATGGATACAGACAAGTAAAACCCAAACCACAGCGCTGAGGCCTGGGAATGCACTGTCCCCACCCAAACTCGTGTTGAAATCTGGTTGCCAATTTATCCACGTTGCGAGATGGCTCCTAATGGAAGGTGTGTGGGTCATGAGGGCTTACGTGCTCTCATGAACAAGCTGATGCCGTCCTGTGGGTCCTTGTGGGACTACGTGAGTTCTTCGGGAAGTGGAGTGATCACAGCAAAGTAGGCGGTTATGAAGTGAGGCTGGCAGTTGCACTCTGGCCCTCTGGCACATGCCCACTTCCCCTCTGCTGCTCAGCCATACGATGAGGCAGCACAAAGCCCTCACCAAAAGCTGATCCTGGCCTTCCCAGCCTCCAGAACTGTGAGCTAAAATAAAACTTTTCTTCATAAATTAAATAAACACCCAGTCTCAGGTATTCTGTTACAGCAGCAGGCAAGACAGAGCAATTAGAACCACTGTGTAGCACAAAGAAGCCCTGACTCACTTGGATATGGGAAGAGCTGCTTTCCTCCAGGGAGCCAGAGCAAAGGTGGTGTTAAACATGATAGTGCATAAGTGCACAGAAACCCACCACTCACTGCAAAGACAGAGGCAGTGAGAGGCCTCATGGAAGACAGATACCAACTAGGTTAAAGGCTGTGGTTTAAAGAACTGATTCTCTGTCACATTGACCTACAGGGCATTCAGGACAGATATTGGAGGTATAACGATACTTAATGAAAAATACACACTTGCTTGGGGTGGGGGAGAGAGAGAGAAAGCACTCCCATCAGGAATAGTCACACCACAATCCCCTCTCCTCCATTCCTTTCTCCTTTTTTGGGATTTTGGGCATGCACACACATGTGCCTAGTGTGTTTCTCAAGCCACCAGCTCTAGGACTTGAACCACATAGCTATGTGGGATCCCATCACCTTAACCCTCATGCCCATGGGCTAGCCCCTCAAAATACCCAGTTAAAAAGAAAAACCGAAGTTACAATTCAAAACCAACTTATTATCTTTTTTTTTCAATTTGTTATCTTATTATCTAGTATCAGAAGACTAATCATATCGGTTAACTCTAAAATTATTATAATACTTAACTAGTTTCTAAAACTTTTTAAGTAGCATTATCCAGAATGCTTTTATCAAATCTGAACATGAGCCAGGTATTACGTGATAGTAAGAAATTACTAATGTTACCAGGAATAAATAACAATGGTATGGTAGCTGTATTTAAAGTTCTTATCAGTTGGAGATGCATCTGGAAATGATTTGCAGAAGGCATATATGATATTGAAGATAAACTTCAAACTTTTCCAGCCATGATAAAACAGGTATGCAGGAAGTGAAAGAAAACAAGATGGATAGAGCAGGGTTCACAAAATGTTAACAATGAATGGACGGGGGAGGATAAGAACATAGAGTTTATTATAACATTGTCTTCTGAGTAGACCTGAAGATTTCCCAGAATAAGAGTACAACGACACATGGAGAGAAGACTATCTTCACCAACTCCCAGTACGGTCATGTCTCGATGCCCTCATGCTCACACAATCAGACCCGGAAGAGCCTGTAGGTGTTCCATGGTGCTTCCCAATAGCAGTCCTTCAGCTCTAGCAGTACCAGGTTTTGTGCTATCCACGATCCCCTGAATCCTCAGTTACCCAGATGGGCATATATTAGCATCCTGGTCTCAGAGGAGGAAAAGGAAGTCCAGGCAAATGAGAGACTTGCCAAGGAAACTCCCATTAATGGCAATGCCACCATCTAAGGTGAGGGCTGGTTTACTCTATGTTTTTTTAATGCCTATGTGGTTTATATTCATACACAGATTCCATAAAAAGCAATGTGCTACTAGATAAAAACAAAAAGTAAAGCTAACAGTAGAGTACAGTTTTAAATGGTGAAGTCAGATTCTCTGCTTTGACCAAGCAGCATTTAGTCCAGCCATAGCCAAGGCAATCATTACAGAAACTCAGAACTGCAGACCCAAAAGGCTGAAGTTCACTGCACATAAACCACAGGTGAGTGATGCGGGTAAAACATGGCTAAGTGACGTGTGTAATTTATAGATGAATGAATAAAGACAGCAGGTACTGTGGCCTTTCAGAAACATCGAAATCCCCAGCATATGCTCTGGATCTGACTCACTCTTAAAAAAAATCAGTTCAGGGTAGCAGAATTACAGATAAAGTTTAATAAGCATTCTCAGGGCTGAGTTCACTGCCTAAGTGAGAGTGGGAGAAGTATGCAGTATGTATACTCTGGTATACAACTCAGTACTGCAGGAAAAGTGCTGCTGTCACGGACTTCTCATTAACACATTTATGTTTAGATTTGTGTTACTCACAGCACCAAAGTAAGGAGCCTGGTGTACGACTCCCGTGCCTTCCTCCTCCTTTACGTAGCTGTCGACCAGTACAGTGAAAGCACCACTCTCTTTATGCTGGAAGAGAAGATTGGCAGGCATCAGAGATGGAACATGGCATTCTAGCATATTAACTTCGTTAACAGTTTTTGTTAAAATCCTGAGAAAAACTTATAACGTGCACAATTATTTTCTGAAATAGAAAAGATAAGAGTAACTTAGGCTGGGAAAAATGCTAACTTAATACATCTTTTCCATGAATAATGCCTTTCATTTATAAATAAATTATCTGGAGACTTGCAGATAAGAATTTCTAATTTCTTATGTCATGAAACTGTACTTTTCATTAGTGCCTTCCCAGCACTCTCCTCCCCGCCCCCATGCTGGGAAGTGTAGCAGAGTCACAGAAAATGTGCTCCCTAGGTAATCTACTTCGTGGTATATTCTCAGTCACTGTACAGGCTTTGCTTGGCCTTCTCCTTTCAACCCAGCTCCAGTTATTCAGTCACGGAAAGCAAATTTTGAAAGGAACTGGCTGGAGGGGAGTCAAGAGTTACAGTTTTTATTGGGTTGTAAGAAAAGTCATGATGCATTTTTCCAGCAGATGACACTAGTTAATTTTTGGAAGTACTAGAGTCATTTGAATCTATGTTATTGCTATGTCATTTGACAGTTGACAGTTCTAGCTCCATTCTAAAAAGAATAATTAAGCAATTTGGTCGAGTTTTGGAGATTTTATAACTATCTGAAGATGGAAGATCGAACTGTATTTTTGCCATATTTTACTTTTACTTCCATAAAGGGAAGAATGAGCATCACACTTGTGAAAAGTTGTGTATATTTTCGGTGACAACGTTCAGTACCAACAATAGCTCATGAAATTCTGCACTGGTGTTTGTGATCTCAACCACGCTACTTGGTCAGGGAGGCCCTCCAAGGTTGATGACGACAAAATAGAGGCACTGATCGAGTCAAACTCATGTTACACGACACGAGATTGCAGAAAACACTGACCATCCATCATTCAAGCATTCACGACCACCCAAAGAAACTGGATACATAAGGAATCTTGATATTTGGGTTCCTCATGAAGTCAAAGAAGTTCATTTGGTCCCAACGTGATGATTCACCTCAAACACTGAAAGTAGACATTTCATCAAAGGAAGGTCATGCTCTCAGTGTGATGAGATTTTACAGGTGTTGTGCTTTTCAAGATCCTACCAAGGAACTAGTCAATCCATTCAAATGTGCACTGTCAGCAACTGGACAGTTTGAACAATTCCATCATCCAGCAATGAGCAGAGCTCATTAACCACAAAGGAGTTGTGTTCCATCAGGACAACCGGAGACCACATTCAAGTTTGACCACCCATCAAAAATGACTGGAGCTTGGATATGACGTGCTGTCACACCCACCACACTCGCCTGACCTTACACCGTCAGACCTCTACCTGTTTGACTCTGTTCAAAACTCCCTGTGGGTGGGACCAGCAGTTAGCATAATGGCTATGTCACTGGACTCCCATATAGTCGACCGCGATTCGCGTCCCAGACCTGGTGGCTTAAAACTCACGCCAGGCGCGTGTGCATGCGTGCCCAAGATTCCGAGAGGAGAATGGAAGAGAAGGGATTGCCGCGTGGCCATCCCCCCTGGGGGGTGATTTCTCACTTTCTGTCTCTCTGTCTGTCTCTGTCTGGCAAGCACATGTGCCCTATAGCAAAAACCTCTTTTTTTAAAAAAATTATTAAATCTCATTTATTCATTCATTTTATTTTTAATTTGACAGAGACAGACAGAAAGAGAGAAAGTGAGAAAGCAAGCTACCAGGTCCAGGATTTGAACCATGGTCAGCCATGTGGGAGTATCCAGCACCTTAACCACCATGCCACCTGCTGGCCCCATAAAAACCTCTTAAAAAAAAAAAAAAACTCTCTGTGGGTGTAACGTTCAATTCATACGAGGCAATAAATCAGCACCTTGTTCATTCTTTCTTCATAAAGACAGGTCCTTCTATGAATGAGGAATTATGAAGCTCACTGAAAGATGGCAAAATGTTATTGAACAAAATGGGAAATATAGTATTGATTGATCTTTGTTCTGTATATAATGACCTTTGAAAAACAGAAAAAATAAGTCATGACTTTTCTGATAACCCAATATTTTCAGGTTCTCCACGTACTGTAAGACATAGAAAAAATGTGTTGAATATGGTTTCCTCTGCAACAGTAATAACATCAGGTTAATAGATACAAATACTGGAAGACTGAGGTTTTCCACCTTCATCTACATATTTCTTTTCACATTCCTTTTGTTTAAACCAAACTAGACCTTTATGGTTCTACGTCTCTACGTTGGTGAAAAGTGCTCTCACAAATGACATTCATCTTTCTTTCCTATAATCCTCTGGAAAAGGTAACAGTATTTCCATGTTTTGAAAATACTCTGGCTCTATTTGCATTTTGCAGATGAGAAAAGAGAACAAACATGAAATGGCTTGGCAAAAGCACATACCTAGCAGGCCCAAAACAAGGGCTTCTGGCTCCACATACAATGCTATTTTTCAACTGCATCACAACATTCTACTTCAGATGGAAATTAAAATGGAAAGTGAGAAGAAACCAACTGTTGCAACATAAATCACCTTGAAATGTTTTAGAAGGTGAAGCTAAGAAGTGCTTAGGTTCATCTTCAATAATTTAAACATGGAGAAAGAGTGCTTAAGTTTAACCTGTTATTTATTCACTTGGTGTTTGAGAACACATGCATTTCAGGTAGATATCAGGCAAGTCTGTCCTAACTCAAATCATTTCTCTTTTTTTTTAATAATAAAAAAAAATTGTATTTACTTAGGAGCATTCAAAATGTCAACAAAACAGCTGCAACTTTCTTTTTTTTTTTGCAATTACAGAGTGGTATTCAGTTAACGGAACAATGATTATTTCATATAAGATGCATCAGAGACAAATGAAGATAAAAAAACTACCATCCCCACATATAACTAATTTGTGCTGTGCATCAACAAGAACCTGCTATAAATTTCCATGCTAATTTACAACCCTCATACTGTACCAGGCAAGGTTAGTGGTCATTGAAAATACCACCAGGGGACAGACAGGTGTGCGTGGTGGTTGAGGTGGCTGGACTCCTGCATGGTTGACTACGGTGCAAGTTCTGCCTGGACCTGGCAGCTTGCTTTCTCACTTTTTGTCTGTCTCTCTGTGTCTCTCTGGTCAACTTCAAAAAAATTAAAATAAAATAATGACAATGAATAAAATTTTTTAAAAAAGAAAATACCACCAGGACAGGGCTCTCTAAAGACACATTCGGTAGTGTGTTAACTATACAAAAAAAGACACTACATTTTAAAAACAAATCTTACACAGCCTTATATTTCAATTTTTCTCTTTAATAGGAGTGAGTTGTATACAGGGGGGCTAAATGCTTTATAGATAAGGAAAAACAAATGCGCTAGAACCAACTTATTCATCATCATTATCTTCATCTTCATCCTCTATATCTTCCTCCTCTTCCTCATCTTCATCTTCCTCGTGGTCCTCCTCCTCCTCCTTTTTCTTGCTTTCAGCCTTGACAACTCCCCTTATTGTGGCATCAGGCTTTCCTTTAGCTCGGTATGCAGCAATATCCTTTTCGTACTTTTCCTTCAGCTTAGCAGCCTTCTTTCCATAAGGCTGTAGATCGTCTGCAGCAGTGCTATTCCACATCTCTCCCAGTTCCTTTGCAACATCATCAATGAATAGGCCAGGATGTTCTCCTTTGATTTTTGGGCAATATTCAGAACAGCACAAGAAAAAGGCCAAAGGAGGCCTCTTGGGTGCATTGGGATCCTTGAACTTCTTTTTTGTCTCCCCTTTAGGAGAGATATAGGTTTTCATTTCTCTTTCATAACGGCCCTTGTCTGCCTTTGCCATATCTTCAAACTTCCCTTTCTCTTAAGCAGACATGGTCTTCCACCTCTGAGCACTTCTTAGAAAACTCTGAGAAGTTGACGAAAGCATCTGGGTGCTTATTTTTGTGCTCCTCCCAGCAACTTTGCACAAAGAATGCATGTGATGACATTTTGCCTAAATTTCCAGACAGACCTCTGACTTAGCCAAGCTACTGTGATAATATATGTTTTTTCTGAGGGGACGAAGCTGTCTTCGGATTCTCAATAGGGTCTGTGGGTCTGAAAAATGAAGTCACTAATCCAGTGGAATGGTATTTAGACAAATTTAAAACTAATACACCACAAGGGACCAGCAGATGGCATAATGGCATAATGATTATGTCACTGGACTCCTATGTGGTCGATTATGGTTTGAGTTCTGGACCTGGTGGCTTAAAACACACTAGACAAGACGAGCAGATAACGTAATGATCATGTCATTGAACTGCCATGTAGTCAACTGTGGTTCAAGTCCTGGACCTGCTGGGAGGGACCAGCAGCTGGTGTAATGGCTATGTCACTGGACTCCCATGTAGTTGACTGTGGTTCGAGTACCAGACCTGGAGGCTTAAAACTCACACCAGGCGCATGTGCGTGTGTGCCCAAGATCCCAAGAGGAAGATGGAGGAGAAAGGACTGCAGCATGGCCATCTCCCCAGGGGGTGATTTCTTGCTTTCTGTCTCTGTCTTTCTGGCAAGCACAAGCGCCCTGTAACAATAATTTCTCAAAACGAAACAAAACAAAACAAAACAAACAAAAAAACTCGCACTGGGTGCATGTGCATGCCAAGAGGGGAATGGAGGAGAAGGGATTGCAGAATGGCCATCCATTCTGGGTAGTGATTTCTCGCTTTCTGTCTCTGTCTCTCTGGCAAGCACATGAGCCCATGAGCCCTATAGCAAAAAATCTCTCTAGAAAACGAAACAAAAAAAAAAAATCCAGGGACCAGCAGTTAGCATAATGGCTCTGTCGCTGGACTCCCATGTAGTCGACTGCGGTTCGAGTCCCGGACCTGGTGGGTTAAACTCATGCCGGGCGTGTGTGCGTGCGTGCCCAAGATCCCAAGAGGAGAATGGAGGAGAAGGGACTGCAGTGTGGCTATCCCCTCTGGGGGTGATTTCTCACTTTCTGTCTCTCTGTCTGTCTCTGTCTGGCGAGAGCACGCGCCTTATAGCAAAAATCTCTCAAAAAAAAAAAAAAAATCTTATGCCAGGTATGTGTGTGTGCATGCCTAAGATTCTAGAAGGAGAGGAGACTGAGAAGTGGCCATCCTCCAGGGGGATGATTTTTCGCTTGTTCTCTCTGTCTCTCTGGCGAGTACAAGTGCCCTATGGCAAAAAAAATTCTCTTATAAAACAAAACAAAACAAAAAACCTAATATACCACAAAATAAAATATGTCAAAATATACAAAAGAGGAATAGAGTAATGATATTCTTCAAAGGAAGAAACCACAGAGACATTTTTGAAAATGCTATTTCAGGAGGCATCTGAGTATAGGCTTAAATGTGGGTTGAATTCAGCAGATTTAACAGGAGAGGAAGGTGAGTAATTTTTTCCTTTTTTGTTTTTAAGAGAGATTTTTGCTATAGGGGCACATGCGCTTGCCAGAGAGACAGAGAGAAAGAGAGAAATCACCCCCAGGGGTATGGTCATCCCACAATCCCTTCTCCATTCTCCTCTCAGGATTTTGGGTACACACACATACCTACCTGGTGCGTTTTACACCACTGGTTCCAGGACTTGAACCATGGTCACCTACACAGAAACCCAGCAATGCAACCATTATGTAACTGGCTGATCTCAGAAGGTGAGGAATTTTTAAAATGAGAGGAAAAGCCAATGAGAATGGCAGGGAACCAAAGGAAAGGGGCTGTTTGAACACAGGATATGCTTAGAGAAACACGAGGGATGTGGAAGAGAAGCAGGTGTGTCAAAAGCCATGCTAGAAATTCGGCAGGACCCACCCAAAGCAGAGAACAGCCACAGGCTTTCTGGGAGTGATGGGACGAGGCAACATACAGCAGGAGGGAAGCATGAAGACAGCTATTAAGTAGGAGCTAAAAAAAAGTGGATTCTCTGTGGCCAGAAATGAAAACCATGTTAAACATCTTCATGAATCTTAAGCAGGTGCTCAAGTATAGGCCCTATTGTGGCATCTGAAGGAAAACATCCACCTCGAAAGCTTCCCTGGAATGAACTGTTTACTTTCACAAACAATGCTTTATTCTCAGCACTATCCTGAATATGTAAAAAACAAAAACAAAAATCTCAATAAATTTCACAGATGATATGCATACTAATTGGCAATAAAAGAACATAGATACAATTCTGTTCAAATATAGAGAGATTCCTTACATAATTTGAGAAAAGTATTTTTTAAAACATCCCTTCATGTTTTCATTTATTAAAACAAGGTGGCAAATCTAAACAGAATGTTAATACTGAAGTGGACTCTGATTGAGGCACACTCATACAAACTTAACAATGAGACAAGGTGAAGCCCCCCATGACATGGCTCCAATGACCAAACACCCTGCAGAAAACTCTGCAGTAGTGCTCATTAGCTTACCTTCACAAAATAGTCAAACAAGGGCTTGTATTTCTTGCCTTTCAGATAGGTACCTGGAAATCTAGAAAAAGGAGAAAGGCAAACTCACAATAGGATTAAAATCAAAGAAATGAGGGGTTGGCCCTGAAGCCTAGTGGGTAGGGAGCTAGAGCCAACATGGCCAACCATGCTTTGAATCCCGGTTCTGGTAACTTGAAAAATCCTCCCAGGTGCATGTGCCCCTAATTCCTGGCAAGATGGGTAAATGGAAAAGAGATTGATGTGGCATCAACTCCAGGTACAAGGTGTTTTCTCCTTCTTTTCCTGTATTTCTCTGGCTATTAAAAAAAATAAGGCTGTAGCCATCAAATCACCACCCTCTCTACTATGCTTCCTCCTTAGTTACTAATGCTGAAACACCTGACTTAAAGGTACTCAGCAACAATACTTAAAACTAACCTTAAATCATATAGCTTTTGGATAATAAAGCTTCTCTTTTTAAAACTAAAGACATAAAGGTACACAAACCAACAACTGAATATGCACCTTTTTTTCTTTTGAGGTTTTTGCTTTAAAGCGTGTGTGCTTGCTGGAGAGACAAAGAGAAAGAGATAGTGAGAAATCACCCCCCGCAAGGGGATGGCCATGCCGCAATCCCTTCTCTTCTATTCTCCTCTGAGATTTTGGGCACACACGTGTACATGCCCCATTTGAGTTTCAAACCACTGAGTCCACATTAGAATTGCAGTCAGCTGCATGAGAAACAAGCGAAGTAACTACTATGTCATCTGTTGGCCCCCAAATACTCACCTTTCAAGGATCTCATAGTCACTCTCCAACTTGTAGAGGGCAGGTAATCTGGCTTCCATTAAAATGAGTACTTTTCCTCTGAGAGCATCTATTAGAACAAGGGAAAAGTGGACGTCAGTGACATCAGACTCTGGGCTCTGAGGACATGTGTTGGGCACACGTACTTCTGCATCAGTGGGCTGAGCACACATGGAGGAGCACTGCTTCCCGGATGTGGAAAGGACAAGGACGTTACGTGCAGATGGGTAGCTGGTGGCTACTAGTAGTGGCACCTACGTCCATTTTAAATGAATTATCTTTGTTTTCTCCTTTTAAAGGTAATATATGTAAATGTTTGAAAATCAGTTAACATTAAGAAAATGAGCGGTTCAAAAAAGCCAAAGTCCACAGAAAATTCCCCTATCCCTGCTCAGATAATCTATGAGTGTCTATTCATTCAACCACTTTTCTATGCAAACACTAACAAACACATTAGCAGAGGTGTAAGGTCTATGCATTTTTTTAAACAATTAAGATGTAATATATAGTTTTACAACTTATTTTCACCCATTAGCATCTTTCTGTATAATATCACATCCAAGTTTTCCTCATTCTTCTAAATAGCTCTACAGGACTCTAAGTTATAGAGAGACAGCAAGATTTTTTTTTTAATTGACTAAAAGACATTTAAATATGTTTCCGATTTTCACTGCTATGAACACCAAGATAATGAATGTCTTTAAACATCTGTGTACCTTGACTGGAAATGTTTCTGGAATAAACCATTGTAACAATGGAAAAGTTGGAGCAAATAAATGTAGGAACATTAAAATCTGATACTGACAAACTGTTCTATAAAATGCTGAAGCCTATGCCAATTTAAACTCCTCCCTATCAGGTATCATATACTCAAGAATTTATTAGAGTCCAAGTCAAATCTTAGTTCACTAAAAGAAAACAAACTATGGTCAACGCTAAGGCCTTAACAATTTCTTGGAAAAAAAAAAATACAAAAAAACAAAAACCTTGAAAAATGGCTATCAGTAAGGCTGCTACTCCCCACTTCTGACCTCGCAATAACTCCAGTACATGTGACACCACACTTTAGGGTAAAATTCAGATCCATGGTGTGCCAAGTGTAGGAGTCACAGGCAGGCAGAGGGGAATGCTTTGAAATCTCACTCAGATGGCCCTGCAGATGCTCAGGATCATTGCGAATGACCAACCATAGTGACACACAGAAATTGTGCAGATGAAAGGGCGCTTGTCCTGGCTGCAGACATCCGAGACACACCTTTTTTCTGACTCCCAATCCTTTCCTGATTCTTTTCAATATTCTTCTACTTTTTTTTTTTTTTTGAATAGGTTTTTGCTATAGGGCACGTTTGGTCACAAGAAAGAGACAGGGAGACAGAAAGTGAGAAATCACCCCCCAGGACGATGGCCACGCTGCAATCCCTTCTTTTCCATCCTCCTCTCAGGATCTTGGGCATGCACGCACACGAGCCCAGCATGAGTTTAAGCCACCAGGTCTGGGACTCGAACCATGGTTGGCTACATGGGAGTCCTGTGACATAGCCATTGTGCCAACTGTTGGTCCCCTTTCTCAATATTCTTTATTTGCCAGAATAAACACTGTGAAATGTTAATTGTTTTAATACACCTTCAAAGGACCAGCAGATGGTGTAATGGTTATGTTGCTGGACTCCCACATAGTAGACTACAGTCTGAGTCCTGGACCCAGCAGCTTAAAACACGCTGGATGTGTGGGAGTGCATGCCTAAAATCCAGAGAAGAGACTGGAGGAGAAGGGACTGTAGCACGGCCATACCCCTACTAGGTGATTTCACACTTTCTGTCTCCAAGTCTCTGTCTCTGGCGAGTGCACATACCTTACAGCAAAAATTTATTTAAAAAAGAATAACACAGTTTCAGGGACCAGCGGGTGGCATGGAGGTTAAGGCACTGGAAACTCCCACACGGCCGACCATGGATTGAGTCCCGGACCTGGTGGCTTGGTTTCTCACTTTCCCTCTCTCTCTTTCTGTGTGTGTCTCTCTCTGGTCAAATTTAAAAAAATAAATGAATAAGTAAAATTTTAGGAAAAAAAAAGAATAACACAGTTTCAAAAAAATAAATGGGTCAAACATTTGTAAGTGGTATTAAATGTGGTGTAATCATTACCAAGATCTAAACCCAAAACCTTTTCATTATTCCAAATTTACTCTGTACTCATGAAGTAACAACTCCGCCTCCCCTGTTAGCCAATGTACTTTGATTCTGATAGAGAATCTAGATACCTTATGTGAATAAAATCAGAGTATCTGCCCTTTTGTGACTAGCTTACTTCTCATCTAAAATAATGACATTAAGGCTCATCCAAATGGTGCAATGTCAGAATGTCCTTCCTTTTCAAAGCAGAATAGTATTCCAATATGCGCAATACCATGGTGTGTTTTCCATTTACCCACTGAGAGACATTTGGGTTGCTTCCATCTCTTGGCTATATTGAAAGATATTGCTACGCATTAACCTAAGCTTCCAATTCCCACTCTCAATTCTTTGGTAAATACCCAGAATTGAAGCTGCCCAGTCATGTGGAAATTTTGTTTGACTTTTTGAAGGAATGTCATATTTTCCACAGGTTTGGTTCTTTGTCTTAGTTGCCTCACATATTTTTTCTTTTTCTGGGAATGAATTTTTCTCTTCTTTGCCTTATACTACTTCCTGTAAAACTGAGCCAGAAGGTATATTGGGTCACAGAGAATTATGTGTTTTTTCATATAACTCTCTATGGAAAAGGGCCTCGCTGCGACAATGGTAACTGTCTACCAGGGAGTACTGAAAAAATACAACATTTTCAAGTTCTGGCACCAATTCCTAATAACCACATGATATCACATTGCTGAATCTCAGATTCCTCCTCTGCAAAAAGGATATAATGTGTAAAACATACTAAAAACTGAAAATTATAATAAAACTTTACTTCCTACTTTTTAATCATACACCTCTAACTACTTTACTTTTTGTGTATTTTCAATCAGAAATTTAAAAAAACCTTTTTGGAGGTTATTTTCTAATTACATCAAATCCCCCCTGCCCTTTGGAGAGATTTTTACTACAGGGCATGTGTGCTCACCAGAAAGACAGAGAGAGACAGAGAGACAGAAAGCGAGAAATCACCCCCCCACCAGGGGGATGGCCATGCTGCAATCCCTTCTCCTCTAATCTCCTCTTGGGATCTTGTGCACGCACCCACATGCGCCTGGCATGAGTTTAAGTCTCCGGGTCTGGGACTTGAATTGTGGTCAACTAAGTGGGAGTCCAGCGACATAGCCATTGCACTAACTGCTGGTCTCCATATTCTTTTCAAAGAACTGTATTACTACTCAAAAAACAATTTTTTTAAAGTGACCTTTCATGTTTTTCCAAAATGTAAATGATCTTATCCCTGCTAACTGCAAGTACCCAGGCTCATGCTCACCTTTAATCTTCACATATTGCATATCTGGATTAACACAGAGAGCAAGGTTACTAGGTAGAGTCCAGGGAGTGGTTGTCCAAGCAACTAAAGATATATTTTCATCCTCCTCCAAAGGGAAAATGACAAATACTGAAGGATCTTGAACATCCTGAAATAAATTAACATCAAGTTTTGCTCACCAGAAAGACAGAGAGAGACAGAGAGACAGAAAGCGAGAAATCACCCCCCCACCAGGGGGATGGCCATGCTGCAATCCCTTCTCCTCTAATCTCCTCTTGGGATCTTGTGCACGCACCCACATGCGCCTGGCATGAGTTTAAGTCTCCGGGTCTGGGACTTGAATTGTGGTCAACTAAGTGGGAGTCCAGCGACATAGCCATTGCACTAACTGCTGGTCTCCATATTCTTTTCAAAGAACTGTATTACTACTCAAAAAACAATTTTTTTAAAGTGACCTTTCATGTTTTTCCAAAATGTAAATGATCTTATCCCTGCTAACTGCAAGTACCCAGGCTCATGCTCACCTTTAATCTTCACATATTGCATATCTGGATTAACACAGAGAGCAAGGTTACTAGGTAGAGTCCAGGGAGTGGTTGTCCAAGCAACTAAAGATATATTTTCATCCTCCTCCAAAGGGAAAATGACAAATACTGAAGGATCTTGAACATCCTGAAATAAATTAACATCAAGTTTTATTATACAAATCCATAATAGAAAACATGGAAGAAAAAGAAAGTGATACTAAAGAGGAATACAATATATAAATTTTCAGTATTTTCAGTAATTCTTAACGGAAAACCGTTTTTACATTTATAAGAAAATACACGCCTAGTCGTAGTGATATGTTCTACTTAAGTAGCACACGGTGTGACCCCTGGAAGGCCCAAGATCAAGTTCCAGTCCAATCTAAAGGTCAGGTGTGGTAGTATGCACCTGTAAATCTCAGTGACCTGGGGAGCCTGAAGAAGGAAGCCCACATGATGAAATTCTGACTTAAAAACGAAACAAACCCAAGACAATAAAAAAAAAAAAAAACCCTCAAATACACGATGTCTTAGCAATCACCTTAGTAGTCACAAATATAAAACATGTTAAGACATACTTTTAAAAGTAATGAATCAATAAGACCAGCAGACGGTGTAGTGGTTTTGTCACTGGACTCCCACATGGCTAACTGTGGTTTGAGTCGTGGACTTGATGACTTGAAACCTGTGCTTACATGCCACAAAATCCCAGGAGGAGAGTGGAGGAGAAGGGATTGTGGCATGGCCATTCCCCCTAGGGAGTGATTTCTTATATTTACATATAAAACACACAAATCTAAAATGAAAGACTACAAACATTAGCCTGGACTCAGCTGTGTGAGAATCATGAAACAGACTGAAGAACTGTTTGAAGAGTGCTGGAGACATAGTAGTTGAATGAAGCACATCTAGGATTTATCTCTGCATAAAGGACATTATTGAGAGTGACTAAGATCTACAAATTAGATAATATTGTATCAACTTATTTGAAAGAAAGTTACTAAGTTTAGGAGATACTTAGGTAACATCTAGAGAAAAGGGCACATCATGTCTGTAACTCACTCCCAATGGTTGCTGCAGGGCCAGCAGTAGGGTGATAGATGCGGTGGCTGCATCCCACATTTCTGACTGTTGAGTTCTGGACCTGGACGCTTGAAAAACATGGCAGGCAAGTATGTGAACATGCCCAGAATCGCAAAAGGAGGGAAAGCTTGAGAAGGGAGTGTGGTATGATCTCTCGTAGGAGGTATTTTCTCACTTTCCCTCTGTCTGTCTACTTCTGGTAAGCACACATGCCCTCTAGCAAATTAAAAAAAATAAAAAGAACTGTGTCTCGCTCTCATAAAGGAGAGAAAAGGATAAAACCAATGTAAAAGATTAATAAGCAGGGAATCCAGCTGAAAGGTATACAGAATTTTTTTCAACTTTTCTGGAAGTTTGAAATTATGTCAAAACTAAGAATTAAAATTTTTCAAGACCAGCAGTTAGCATATTGGCTATGTCGCTGGACTCCCATGTAGCCAACTGTGGTTCGAGTCCCAGACCTGGTGGCTTAAACTCATGCTGGGCGCGTGTGCGTACATGCCCAAGATCCGAGAGGAGAATGGACGAGAAGGGATTGTGCGGCATGGCCACCCCCCCTGGGGGGGGGGGATTTCTCACTTTCTGTCTATGTCTCTCTGTCTTTCTGGAGAGCGCACACGCCCTATAGCAAAAATCTCTCAAAAAAAGTATTAACATTTTTCAAATAAAAACTTTCAAGAAAACTTAAGCTGCAATCAGTACATATAACACATCAAAAAGGTATAACAGGGAACCAGCAGTTAGCGTAATGGCTATGTCGCTGGACTCCCATGTAGCCGAATGCGGTTCGCGTCCTGGACCCAGTAGCTTAAAACTCACCCCGGGCGCGTGCCCCAGATCCCGAGAGGAGAATGGAGGAGAAGGGAATGAGGCATGACCATCCCCCCTGGGGGGTGATTTCTCACTTTCTGTCTCTCTGTCTCTGTCTGTCTGGCAAGCGCACGCGCCCTATAGCGAAAACCTCTCCAAAAAAAAAAAAAAAGGTGTAACAAAAAAGTGATAGGAGATACCATGTGCCATGTGCAAATAAGGGTGCAGAGGAATCAGAACAGTCTGATGGGAGGCTAAATCAGTATAAACACTTTGGAAAACTGTTCATCAATACGTCTTAGAAGAGGGATCAGCAAACTGTGGTCCATGGGGGAAATATGGCTTATCACCTGCTTTCATACAGGTTTAGAAAGATTTGAGTAGCATGGCAGAGACCTTCTAGGCCCAAAAAGTCAAAAAATGTATATTATTCAGAAAGTCTGCCAACTCTAGTACTAGAAGAATTAATAATATGCCTTATGACTAAATGATCCACTACTTCTTACATAACAGAAATGTGTACATTTGTTTATCAAAAGAAAAGTTCTAGAATGTTCACAGTAGCACTATTTGTAAAGCCAAAAATCAGCAATTACTTAAATGGCCACCAATGTTATAGTGGATGAAGACTAGAGAGTCATTATAATGATGATGTCCAAGTACATACTATGTGGGCAACTACTGCAGACAGTGCTGAGCGAGAGAAGCTGGATGCAAACCACTATGCTGCAGGGTTTGTTTATAGACAGTGGGCAAAGAACCAGTGTACTACAAGTAAGGACAGGAGCTGGTGAGGTTCTTTTCCACGCTGGATTCACAGATGTGTTCACCGGTGAAAGCTCACACAGCTGTGTTCTTTAAATGAATATTGTACTTGGACCAAGCCACAATGATCAATGCAAACCATGGACAAAGTGCTAATAAATAAATGGAGGGGTTAAAAAAATGCCGCCTTGGGGCCAGTAGGTGGTGTGGTGGTTAAAGGCACCAGACAATAGCAGTTTGAGTCCTCGACCTGGTGGCTCTCTTTCTCACTCTCTCTGATCAAACTGGAAAATAGTAATAATAAAGTTAAATAATTCTTAAAAAAAAAAAAAAAAAAAAGCTGTCTTACTTAAACCAGACAATAAATAGGAAGAGTAAAAAATACTTAATTTCGGGACCAGCAGTTAGCATATTGGCTATGTCGCTGGACTCCCATGTAGTCGACCGCGGTTTGCATCCCAGACATGGTGGCTTAAAACTCACGCCGGGCGCGTGTGCGTGCGTGCCCAAGATCCCGAGAGGAGAATGGATTGCAGCGTGGCCATCCCCTCTGGGGGTGATTTCTCGCTTTCTGTCTCTCTCTGTCTGTCTGGCGAGCGCACACGCCCTATAGCAAAAAAAACTCTCCAAAAAAAAAAATACTTAATTTCAGTACATACAGTGCAATGAGTATAATAAACATAACATAAAATTAAAATAGGAAAACCTATGTAAAACAGTATCAGTGACTGCCTTTGTATATTGATAATATTTTTCTTGTTTTCCAAATTCCCAACAACAAATATGTCCTCACATTCAAATCACTGAACTCCTAAAAATTCAGTAACATCAAAAATAAGTATGTTTTGGGAACCAGCAGTTAGCGTAATGGCTATGTCACTGGACTCCCACGTAGTTGACCGTGGTTCGCGTCCCGGACCTGGTGGCTTAGAACTCATGCTGGGCGCGTGTGCGTGTGTGCCTAAGATCCTGAGAGGAGAATGGAGGAGAAGGGATTGTAGCACGACCATCCCCCTGGGGGGAGATTTCTCACTTTCTGTCTCTATGTCTCTCTCTGTCTGTCTGGCGAGCGCACGCGCCCTATAGTGAAAACCTCTCCAAAAAAAAATAATAATAATAAATATGTTTTTATATACCTCAAGCTGATAATCACATTTCCCTTGGAAGAGCTTTCTCCTCCAATTCAATTCACTATACATACTGCTTGACCATTTCTCAATAAGAATATGTTTACTTATTTCTAGAAGAGCACAAAGTCTGAAAGTTCTAGGAGCTCAATATTACAGCAGTCTAATAAGTAAAAATATAGTTGCCCAAGTGAAATTCCAGCACATGTCACAAGGATTCATATTATGAAATGTTCACAGCACTGTTACCATTTTAGAAGAAAACGGCAATGTTCTTTAAAACAACTCTACTGTCTATTATAAAAGAAATCAATTGTTTTATAAAATTCTGCACAGCAGGTAAACATAAACTCAAGGTACCTACAAAATATAAAGCATCTTTAAATTAAGATAAATTAAAAAATAAAAGGGAAGGTACATAAAAGGGAAGGCAGAGGAAGCACAGTTATATTTAAAAGCACGCAGAGGGGCTGGCAAGTGGCATAGTGATTCCTCATGGGGCTCCCACATGGCTGACCATGCTTCAAGTTCCAGAGCTGGTGACTTGCTTTTTCACTTTCTCATGTTATCTCTCTCTCTTTGTGTTCAAATTAAATATTAATAATAATAAATAAAATTAAATGAATAATTCTTAAAACAAACAAACAAAAAAGCATGCAGAATAATGCCATACACTGCCCATGGATACTTACATAGATAGTGAACATAAAGAAACATACATGGTAAAAATACTAAATTTAGCACAAACGTTACCTTTTTTATTTTTTTAAAGAGAGATTTTTGCTATAGGTCATGTGCACTTGCTGGAAAGACAGAGGGAGACAGAGAGGTCGAAAACAAGAAATCACCCCCCTGCGTAGGGCGGCCACGCCCGCAATCCCCTCTCCTCCATTTTCCTCTCAGGATTTTTGAGCACGTACGCACACTTGCCCAGCCCAGGACTCAAACCACGGTCAACTATGTGGGAGTCCAGCAATGTACCATTTGCTGGTCCCTCAGATGTTACTTTTTAGGATATAAGAAAGGAAACTAAAATGAGAAAGGTACTGTAAATAAACAATACATTCTAGTATAAAACAAAGTATCTACAACTATACATAACACAGAAGACTCATAAATACAAAGTTGGGCAAGAGAAAGCAGATATGAAAAGATACATACTGGATTTTCCCATGTACACAAAGTACAGTATCAGGCAAAACTAATCAACTATTATTTGCAATATCTGACACATTTGTAAAACACAGATGCACTTATTAGAACACATCAAATGGTATATTTAAGATTTGTGCATTTAATGGTATATAAATTTTACCCCACTCTCCAAAAAAAAGTCAGAAATAAACACTGACATCTCTTAATGACATATATACAGAAGGGCAAAGTAGTAATTTATATAAAATAGAAAAAATACAGAAAATGTTCAATTAAACCATGGGAATATCCATGCCATTCTCTTCTGAGGACTTTGGGCATGCATACATGTGCGCACGCACACACACACACATACACACGTGCCTGGTATGTTTTCCGAGTTGCTGGGCCTAGGATTCAAACTACATAGTCGGCCATGTGGGATCTAGCTACTTTAACCACCACGCCATAGGCTGGCCTGTGACTGGCAATATTATTGCACTCAGAAAGAAACAGACTCCCCAGACTAACATTCCACGCTAGGATTACCTGGGAACACTTAACTATGACACACAACTACTTAACTTCTGTGCACATAACTCAATGCTGAATAATGCCTCAGCATCTCTCATACCTTGTAATTCTGGTGTGATTCGAAGTTGGACAGTGGAGTGTTGCATGAGGTTGAGAAGGGCATGACTTTCACGCCTCTATAAACAAGGCCTTTATCATAGAGTTGTTTGAAGACCCACCTGGCAAGAAATGGAGTTTTCAATTTCATTACCACAATCCTATCTCTTCAAATGCAAACATTTAAGCCATTTTCTGTTTAGAATTTGTTTGCCAAAGAAATGAAAACACACTGTCTCTCAGTTAGACACTGGCTGGTAAGTTATGACAGATCAGTATAACTGGACACTAGGTAGACATATGGACATATTCAGAGGTGGCTGAATAATGCTAATAAGAAAAGTAATTTAGAAAAGCAACTGGGGGCCAGCGGGCCTAGTGATTATGGCACTGAACTCCCAGGTGGTTGACCATGGTTTGAGTCCTGGACTTGGTAGCTTGAAAATCATGCTAGGTGCGTATGCTTGTATGACCAAAATCCCAGAAGAGAAAGGGATTACAGCACAGCCATCTTCCCTGGTCGGGTGAGGGAATTTCTCACTTTCCTTTTCACTGTCTCTTTCTGGCTAGTACATGCACCCTATGGTAAAACATTTAAAAAAAAAAAAAAAAGGAAAAGAACTTGTGGGCCAGCAAGTGGCATGGTGGTTAACTATATCCCACAAGACTGACTCTGCGGTCTGGGTCCTTGACCTAGTGGCTTGAAAGATACACCAGGCACGTGTGCATGCATGCCCAAAATCCCAAGAGAGAATGGAGAAGGGATTGTGGTGTGGCCATCCACTCAGGGTGGGGAGTGGTTTCTCACTTTCCCTTTCTCTGTCTCTACATGTCTCTTTGTTGAGACATCCTACTGGCAAAAATCTGAAAAGAACCAAGACCCTTGCAGAAACAGCAAGACAGACCCTTGAAAACATGTATCTTTTTTCCTCTCCTTTTCTTTCCCCCTGACTCAGAGAAAACAAAACAAAACAAAAACTTTCCTTCAACACTTAAACATGTTGCATTAAGCTAAGTGTATGCACCAAGACACTGTAAATATCAACAGTAACAGTCATCCAAGTTCTCCCACGGTTTCTACTTCTATCTACTAACTGGATAAGAGAGTGCACTGGTAAGAAACACATTTAATTATGCATGCCTTTATTTAGTTCATCTTTGTATTCTAGTTCCTATGTGGTTAGCATGACAAATGAATGAAACTTTCTCCCATTTCTTAAAATGACATTTTAATTTTTTTGTAAAGAATGATTTAATCTTATTTATTTTTATTTTTAATTTGCTATAAGGCAGGTGTGCTCACCAGAGAAAGAGAAAGTGAGAAAGTGAGAAAGTAAGCTACAGTCAACCATATAGGAATTCAGTGCCCCAACCACCATGCCACCTGCTGGTCCTGACATTTTTATTTTTTAAATGTACATCTTTTTGGTCAGTAAGTAGTATGGAGGTTAAGGTAGCTGGATCCTATATGGTAAATTGTGCAGTTCAAGTCCTGGACCCAGAGTTTTAAATAACACGCTGAGAACATGTTTGTGTGCAACCAAACAAAAATGTCTGTTTTTACGTGACATTCCTATGGCTTTAGATAAAGCTTAAAAAGTGGTATTTTAAAGTAAATTTCCCAACTTTAAACTCAATCTTTCTTTTTTTTCTTTTTTTGAGAGAGATTTTTGCTATAGTGCAGGTGTGCTTGCTGGAGAGACAGAAAGTGAGAAATCACCCACTGGGGGGAATGGCCACGCCACAATCCTTTCTCCTCCATTCTTCTCTTGATATTTTAGGCACACACATGTATGCATTCAGCGTGAGTTTTAAGCAACCAGGTCCAGGATTCAAACCACAGTTGACTACATGGGAGTCCAACTACATAACCATGATGCCATCTGCTAGCTCCTAAACTCAATCTTTATTAATATATTCTTTGCTGTAAAGACTAGAGGAAGAATATCAGATTGACATAAGGTCACTGAATTAGCTGTGATTTCTCAGGAAGTTATAGTCACTTGCCTTTGCCTCAAACAGGGTGCTAATCCAATCCACAGGACTCTTGGCCAGATGAGAAAATTCATGTGGAGATTTTTGTATATTTAAAAAGACAACTCATTCTAAAGTATCACCTTTTTTTAAAAAATAAAAAATTTACTACAGAGTACAGGCACTCACTGAAGAATGTGGAAGGGAGTGAAAAAGCCCTCCCTAACTCCCCAACGCCCTTAGAGTATGGCTGTGCTGCAATCCCTTGTCTTGTATTGTCCTCTTGAGATTTTGCACATGCCTGGAATGTTTTTTAAGCTGCTAGGTCTGGGCCTCAAACTGTGCAGTTAGTTAGGTAGGATCCAGCTGCCTTCACCACATGGCCGGCTGGCCCAGTTATCACCATTACTAAAGGTATCTCTGTCTCGTCTTTATATTCACCCTTGGTCTGTGAGAGACTTATTTTTATGCCAACATGTTCCTCAGGAAAAACTAACATTCCAATACCAACAGGCTTTAAAAACTGTGTCCCGCCCAACCAAAGCAAGCTTTTATGTAAATTAAGCAGGATTAAAGCTGTATTATTCAACATGGCAGGCGATAGCCACATTGTGACTTTTAATTTAAACTTTTAAAAGTTTAATATTTAAATTCATTAAAACTAAAAATTCGGTTTCCCTCTTGCACTGAGCACATTTAATAGCTCTGGTCTAGAGCATGAGTAGGGCCTTCTTTTCCAGAAGTTTAACATGAAACTTGGTTTTTAGATGCCCGAATCAGGGAAACTCCAGTGGCTCTGTGAATGGGAAGCCTCTGTCTAATGTCTCTGGCACACCAATGAATCTAACTACTTCTTACCCTCGGGCACACAGGTCCAGGAAGGTGACCACTGGGTCTGAACAATGTACCAAGATATCTGGCTCATCGAAGGCAAAGGACATATGCTTAACAAGAGCAACGGATCCGGGCTAACAGAGATCTGAGTAAGGAAGCAGTCAGAGAAGCCTTCAAGCAAGGCAAGGCAAGCAGATCTTACAAAGGACCTTTGCAACTCATGGCTGATTTTGTATCTAATTTAATAAAAGTAGGACTTTCCTCAAGGCTGAGTTTATGGACCTAAGGTATTTTGTAACCATGATTATGCCTGTTTGCCCAGTAATAATTCTCAAACTATTGTGGGAGACCCACATTAAACCTCCTGTCAAGGTTAGCATTACTATCGCTAATGATATAGTTTAAAAAAAATAAAAAGAAATTTCCTTTGAAACTGTTATAGAACAGTTACTTGACTGTACAACAATTTTTCAGCATTAAATTCAAGCACACAATTTCTCAGACAAATCAATCAATTTCTGAAAACTCTTAAAATTTTTGTTACAGAAAGCATGTGTTTGCCAGAGATACTGGATGGGAGGAGTAAGAAATCACTTCCCGGGGCTGGCAAGTGGCACAGTGATTATAGGCGCTGGACTCCCACATGGCCAACCATGGTTCAAGTCTCGGACCTGGTGGCTTGCTTTCTCACTTCCTCTCTATCTCTGTCTCTCTCTGATCAAACTGGAAAATAATAATGATAATAATAATAAAGTTAAATAAAATAATTCTAAAAAAAAAAAAAATCACTTCCCGAGGGGGATGGTCATGTGGCAATATGTTCTACATTCTCCTCTTGAGATTCTTTTGGGCATGCATGCCCAATTGCCCAGTGGTTTTCACACCACTGGGTCCAGGACTTTAACCACACAGTGCGATCCAGCCCCCTAACCTCCATGCGATCTCTATCTCTGTCTCTCTCTGATCAAACTGGAAAATAATAATGATAATAATAATAAAGTTAAATAAAATAATTCTAAAAAAAAAAAAATCACTTCCCGAGGGGGATGGTCATGTGGCAATATGTTCTACATTCTCCTCTTGAGATTCTTTTGGGCATGCATGCCCAATTGCCCAGTGGTTTTCACACCACTGGGTCCAGGACTTTAACCACACAGTGCGATCCAGCCCCCTAACCTCCATGCGATCTGCTGGCCCCTTAAAACTAGTTTTTCCTAACTTAGGTAATAAACTAAACTGGCAAAAACCTGACATCCGACATCAGGCGATCTGTATGGGTGATAAATAATAATGTATTTGATGACAGAATGCTGTTCAATCTGCATATGGAGACCATGTGCTACAGAATACATGCTTACTCTGTTAATGTTTCTCCAACATTTTCAAAACATACTCGTTTCCCAAGATTTCAGATCAATAAGTATGGACCTGAAAACAATCCAATTCACGGTAGTCCACTTCCCACTGATCGATGTTACAGAATACTCATCACATCTATGACTTTAAATAAACCTACCAGACAGATTCCATGAACTGTGGGTAGAGAGTTTTGTAGTCATTGTCAAAGTCAATCCATCGTCCAAGTCTGTTAACAGTAGACTTTAAAAACAAAGACAGCAGAATAATATTAGACAATGGCATTTGTTATGGTACATCAACATCCTGTTTTACTTCTGTCACAACCACAATTTAAATCTATACTGGAAACAACACACTCAGTAAGGTTAAGACTCTGTTTTCTTGGCATTATCCTGTATGGAGCCAATGTTATTCACAAGTACAGACGTTCATTTATAAAAGTCCACTAAAACTACTATTCAGGAGTATTTCAGCACAGGTATAATGGCCACTGGCAAGAATCATCAATAAATGCTAAAATTAATAAGTGAAAGTAGGATAAGAAAAGGAGTATTTGCAAAAAATCCCCCCATAAGATGCTTGTTAATTACAAAGGGAGACTTAAAAGTTGGCAAAGGAGACACTTGACAGGTAACTCTTTAATCAAGTATAGTTACCAGCATCAATGAGACAGAACTATGCAGGTTTCCTGATACGGTACATGGGGAAAGGAATGACATCACATCTGAGGCATTCTTATTCTTTTTTTTAATAGACCATAGATTAATTTATTTTAACACCCATCATGCCATAAATTCATAGGGAATAGGTTCCAGTAGTTCAAGTTCCTTTCCATTGTTTCTCACAAAGTGTGATTCTCTGGGTGGAGCAGGCTGGCGCTTTAGTTGAACCCAGGTCCCTTTGTCTTTGGCTTCCTTCTTTTTCTGGTCATTTTCTTTTTTTTTTTATTTTTTAATAACTGTTTATTTTTTATTCTATTTATTCGTTTATTTATTTTAATTTGACCAGAGAGAGACACACAGAGAGAAAGAGAATGTGAGAAAGCAAGCCACCAGGTCCAGGACCTGAACCATGGTCGGCCACGTGGGAGCGTCCAGCGTCTTAAACCACCACTGCACCTGCTGGTCATTTTCCTTCACACATTTTAGGAAGGTCTCTCTGCTCTTAGAATGCTTAATATGCTCAAAATGCAAATTATCTTGGCAACAATCTTGCCCTTGACTTGTCTGTTTACAACAATGCCAACAGCATGCTGAGTAACATTATAGACTCTTCTAGTGTTGCCATGGTCACATTTGTGGGGCATTCCTTTTGATCAGTACCCATTCCTTTGTTGTCACTGTTATCACCTTTCTTGTAGATTAGTATATATGTTGGGAGAGGAACAACTCCATGTTTTCTAAAAGGCCTAGAGAACATATATCGGGTGCCTCTCCTCTTTC